CTATTATATTTATGTAGATACGTATAACAGATAACAGACAGTACTATTATATAGATACATAACAGACAGTACTATTATATTTATGTAGATACGTATAACAGATAACAGACAGTACTATTATATTTATATAGATACATACAACATATATTACTATTATACAGATACATAAGACAGACAGTACTATTATATTTATATAGATACATACAACAGAAGTATATTATATTTATATAGATACATAAACAGACAGTACTATTATATTTATGTAGATACGTATAACAGGTAACAGACAGTACTATTATATTTATATAGATACATACAACAGACAGTACTATTATATAGATACATAACAGACAGTACTATTATATTTCTGTTGATTTACTTCGGAATTAAAAGAAAAATAATTCAGAGCAGATTACAAGCCCTACAGAGTTTGAGTACTTTATATTAAAACTATTTTTCTTTGTTACAGTCAACGTCCGTTCATCCTGTACCTGACAACCGTGCATCTTTACAATAACCTTGCAGGGTGTCCAAAGCACACTACTCCTCCGTACTTACTTTACATAATCCATCTAGTGTATTAGGAAAACGGTTTCCCAGCAACCTTTATAAACAGTTTGATCGCCCCAAAACCTACAGATATTCAGATGTTGGCTATTCTGGTGACTTGGCCGGTAGGTCTTCGTATGGAATAGCACAGATACCCACATCATTATCCTACTGCTTGAGGAATGACAATTGAGCGGGGGGTATGACTGAAAGCCTAACCTTTGTGAACCCATAGGCTATTTTCGTTTCCAGACGAAGAACCTTCTTGGTTATCTTGCGTACTGTTGTCTGGGGCACGAGAACGGATTTTGCCACTGATTGACGTGTTCTTCGATTCTAACTTTTGCTTACGGCTTGTTGAAGGTCTTTTTCTGGATGGGCCTGTTACCCCAAGTTGATCCACATTCCTTTAATTACCAAAGTCACTAAGTACAAGGGATATTCCCGTCTTCGAAAATATGAGTCCACGATCTGAACACATCTTTATGATTTGAATGTATGAATGTTTTTCCATCGGAAATAACTGTTACACACCTTTCCAAAAACGATAAATTTTTTATGGCATTACACCTGCTATGAGACGCCAAACGTTATCAAAATATAATTCTGACACATGCTTTCCATTGCGAATTTATATTGGCTGTGGTTGTCTCGTGACTTGCTGATTTGCATACATGGGCGCGTACAGGAAGGGGCAAGAGGGGGCATTTGCCCCCCTTACTTTCACAAAAAATTGCACGTATTATGATGTAAACTCAACATCATAGTTAAACTAAATATTTTTAGTAATTGTTATTAAAACTGTCAATTCTTGTTTGCGTTTAAGCACATATTACACACATTCTTTTAGTCTGTTGACTTACACAGTAAAAGCTGATCCCCTGTGTACATGTTTTGCACCCCCCTCCTTGTTTATATATACAAAATCATCAAGTTTAATATAATTTACTAACTTTCTGTACAATATTTTATTATTTTTAATACAAATTTCCTTTCATACGCAAGGCCGGAAGTAGCCTAATGAATAGCGTGCCCAGATTGTAAATTCGATGGTTCAGAGTTCGCGGCCCGTTGCCTCCAAACCGCGCTACGCGCCTCAGGAGCGTGGGTGCACCGTGAGAGTGACGATGAAATCCCACAATTCTGTCAGACCAGAGTTGGCAGTGGGTGCTATTGACTACTTCTTCCCTCTTCCCCCCTAGTATATCTGTGGACCTGTGTAGCTTTACACGAAATTAAACAAACTAAAATTGAACGCGTGTTTTCGTTGCATTTCTTAAACCACATCAGTGCACTACACGATGACATTTGATGATTAAATATAATACAATTTTAGCATTAATTGTAAATAATCTGTCAAGATACAGTAACATGCAGAGGACATTAAAAGGGCAGGGGCTCATTTACAAACAAATAAAAAAATGGGTGTACTTTTCAAGCACTGGAAGGAAAACGTTTTTTTGAGGGGGAGATTTTAGGGGAGACTATGGGGATTGTGGTTTGCCCTTGTTACACAAAGGGTACACGAGAAACAAAGAGAACTTCTTATAAACACTTTTAAAATCTAAAACTAAAGAGTGAAGTTTAGCGTATTAATACAGTTCCAGTGTGTGTCATTCATTTTAAAACTGAACTTTTTTTTTCTTCTCTTAATAACTCGCCTTTAGCAAGGTGTGTAATCAGGCGTGTCTTTTGGTTTTTATGACGGAGAAAAAGGGCACTTTTGGGGCATAACAGAAGGAAGGCATGGGCTTGATTTCACCCAGCCACCCTTGTGCACGTCACTGTAAAGATGTCCACTTGTGAAAATAAGTTATGCCTGGAAAATTCACTTACCCAACGCTCTAGCTTGGCGTAAGATATGCCTGGAAAATTTACTTACCCAACGCTCTAGCTTGGCGTAAGATATGCCTGAAAAATTCACTTACCCAACGCTCTAGCTTGGCGTAAGATATGCCTGAAAAATTCACTTACCCAACGCTTGAGCTTGGCGCAAGTTGTG